AATGAAATTGAAGAGCGCAAAAGAAATGATCTCCGATATGTTTGGCTGAAGTCGAACGTCCGGCGCCACCCAATGGACCTGTGTAGAAAGGACTTGAAACGATGCGCTTTGCACATTTTGACGTCGCCATCTACTGAAAGTAACTCCCTATTCGAAGTCGACAACCGGCTGCACTCGGGTGATTTTGATGCAGAAGGATTCTTTTCGGCGTCACATTTTATGAATCATAGGCACTATCAAGCTGTCAGTGGCAGTTTCTTACGCGGAGAGTTCAAATATTTGTGTTGAAGTAAATTTAATTTAAACTGCATGGTTATATTAAAATTGACTTAAGCAACTGAAAAACTATGGACATGGGACCAAGCACGATATACAATTCCGTGGAATTCATAACTAAACCGATAAAGCGAATGCTTATATCGCACACGCGATTAAGAACGTAAAACAGATATAGGAGTGATATTGCGAACAAACAAGTTGCCTAATGTTAAGGTACCATTATTTCTAGCATAAAAAATTATTCAAACTAAATGTTTGTTCCCGCGCCTTGTCCACTAGTTCCATAGTGTAATCAAAAGAAGCTGTTTTCGATCTGTTGGAACTACAAAACACCATGTTTTCAGGAAAAACACGTGGCTAATTACGCGGAGTGTTTTTGTTTTCTTCCTTGACACCAATGCGCACTCATATATATGATAACATTGGGCTTCCTATTGCAAATGTTCCGCCCTTATTAGTAACCAAACCTCAGTTCTCATAAGTTATTGGTATTTGAACCCTCGAGGCTCTCTTCAAGTCATATATGTATTCAATGTGCGCAAGTGCTAACGCTGATTCCTGTTCCTATAAAACTTTTTCACACGTATCCCGCACGCCGTCGGTAAAAAAATATTGAAAACGTGTTACAAAATCAACTACAGAAGTTGTGCGCATAATGATGTAATGCAATTGCATGGTAAGTATAAGTATAGGACGACACTTTACGGAGTAAGGCAAGAGACGTGGTGAAACGCGACGAAAAACACGAATTCAACGAATCCGCCAAGGCGCGGACGGGAGAGCGGAGCAACAAGTTGAAGCAACCTAATGGCGGCCACATCACGTGATTCCAAGATGGCAGCGCCCATGCGGTGGAGGGTGAAAAGGTCTATAAACTTAGGCCGCACGCTGGCAACACGATTCGATCTTCACTGAAGCACGGAACAGTACTGGATCCTTTTCCGCTAGAATTGTTTTCCCACCGATAGTATGCGACAAAATAAACGCCAGAACCTACGCCGTCTAGCGCGCGACCGTGGAGAGCCTATGGGGCGGCCGTTCTCCTATCCCCGCTTTGATGATGATGATAGCGCGACCGTAGCGCCACCTCTAGGTCGATCTCGAGGCCAATAGAGTCACTAGGTATATACGCGCTCAGAGTATCGACGCTCCATTCTTCGATTGTCGTGCGCCATTTTGTTTCCGAGTCCGCCGCCATTGCTTGGGCACGTACTCTGAACACGTATTAGACGCCAGGGCTGCGTTCGCATTCAACGTGAACTTGGGCGCAGCTCGTATAGGATCCGAATGCTGCGTCAGCGTTCGGCGAAGACCCGGATTCAAACACGAGTGCTCTGTGCCCCATGGATGAATGGAAGGATAAATGGTAACGGGCGGTGGCTTATGCCACCTAGTCTAGAAAAAAAAAAAAAAAAAAAGAAATGACGATTGCCAATGTTGTTTGATGTGGTTCTGAAAAGGAAAATGCTACCGCCTGAGCTCGGTCTCAAGAAGCTCAGGTGACATCGTTTTGCCATGTCGCGGTTTGTTTCAACATTTCTGAGGGATGGAATGGCGTTTCCCGTGCTTTTAGATAAAGCTTCGGATACCTGACGACAATGAGTTTCAGCAACAAAAAAGGCAGAGGTCTCCCGACTCTGAAACGTATATACCTTATATTTAGTGCCTCTGCAGTCAGGCACGTCTGGGCGGTTCTGGACATTCGGGTCAGTAGGACAACCGATTACACTTTGCTATCGTATACCGTTGAATCCGCCCATTGTCCTGGTAGCTTCCACAAATATACGTGCACTATATTATCCTGGGTGGTTTCTTTTTAAAATCTTTTTTAACGACACACGAAGTAAAACTGCAGGTCCCAAACTATCCTTCTAAACTTAGGCGATCGAGCTCATCAAGACGTATCTTGACATCAATCTACCTGGCTGCAGAGCACCGTGAAATCGAGGACAATGTTTTAATTATTTTGTTATTAAAGTGCTCGTTTTTATTTTTTATTTTGTACGCCCCTAATGTGGACACTGAAAATATCTTTGGATGTCCGTGACTTCTAGGGCGTCTAGAAGCCGTGTCATGCGGTATATACTGCCCCAGACACTACAGCTGTTGCAGACCCTTTTCAAAAAGCGCGCACCATAGCTTATCAAAGTCCGCCATAATTTGGGACCCGCATTCTCAGCCTGTATTGGACACGAGGGCTGACGTCAGCGTTCGGCGTGGATTCGGCGCTGTTCGTATCGAAAACGAGTGATACGTCAGCGCTCGGCGAGGACTCGGATCCAGTCACGGTGCACGTTTCGTACCTTAGAGAAAATGGCGACCGCCAATGTTGCTCGATGAGGTTTTGAAAAGTGTATATTGATTGTTTTGGCCTATCTCTAGTAAGGTATGGATCTAGCAGGGAGGAAGCATGCCGTTTGCGGACTGTCATGAAGACTGGGAGCGGATGTCCGAGCAGATATGGCATCGGCTAGAACAAACAATCGTGGCGCCCTTGACCCGATCAAACGCCTCTGAATAACAGCTCCATCTTCTGGTCGATACGGGTTTTTCGCCCATACGCTCCGTTCAGTACATTCCGACTCCCACAGTTATTTGCCTGACGTGGTTCCGTTTCGATGACAAGCGATTTTTAGAGCGCAGCTCTTAGGGGCCCGTTTCCGACTTGAGCGGCGTCGGCGTAACCGCGAGGTCACGTGAGCCCCCAAGGTCACGTGACCCCCCCCCCCCCCTTCCCCGAGGTCACGTGACCCCTCCCAAGGAGGACAGGGGTAGGAAAGAGGTGGAGGAGGAGGAGGAGACGAGGGGAGGAGGTCGAAGGAGAGGAGGAGGAGGTGAAGGAGGGGAGGAGGAGGACGAGGGAGGAGGGAAGGAGGAGTAGCAGGCAGGATCACGAGAGAAAGAGGAAAAAGGAGGGGTATATTCTCCTCTCCGTACCCTTCTCTCCTCCTCAAGAGCTGCGCTCTAATTCGGCGTCACAGGGAGTTGTAAACGGCTTTCATTTTTTTTTAAGCATGGAATGTTTTTAACGCTAAATTTAGCGGGGAAATTGACACCTTGTAGCCAAAACATCAATTCAGTTTTCCCGCTAAATTTAGCGGGAAATTGACGTCGCGTGACTACACACCAATTCAGTTACCCGCTAAATTTAGCCGGAAAAATTCACGTCTTTTGATCTAGAGACACCAATCCAGTTTCCCCGCTATATTTAGCGCGGGAAATCGACGTCCTGTGGTTTATACGACCGTTCATTTTCCCCGATCAATATTCCGGCAAAAAAATACGTCACGTGACACATTAATTCCCTCACGTATTCCTTATAATGCAGCATTGTAGGACTTTGCAGGTAAAGTTGTGTCGAAGCTCTGTTACGTTGCATTGTCATCCTGTTTACCGCATACCGACTTGTCCAAGTCACGATCTGGTTGCATGTACTATCGCGGACAATAGGGAGTTCTCGTAGACCGCGTTTCCCCTCCGCTAAGCCCTCCGCAAACAAGAAGCCGCTACTGCGCCTGCGCGCCGATATGGTCTTGACTAGAGTTGCGGGTATCGTAGCGGGTTGTTGGACGGAGAAAATTATATACGAAAACTCCCTAATGTATGAGCTGAAACAGTCTTCTATGCTTATTCTTTGGCGTACCTGCCAGTTTCTGGGGGATTTATGGTTCAGCCTCGGAATGGAATGCAAAGTTGAGGCTCCGTGCTTGGGACTGTTTGACAAGTTGGCTCGTACTGCCCGCTGGGGTACCTGCCACGCATGTCTCATACTGAAGTCACTCCGAACCGCGGAGTGACCGTTGAGGTCGAGTTTATGCACTCTGGCGCACGTGATATTTTTCTTCTTCTATGCCCTTTTAGGAAGGTGACTGCGACGTTCGTTATACTTTTATGATATGTAGTGGAAGGACGTTATACGAAAATTCACAGAATATATCTAGGGTCCTGAACCTTTTAGGTTTTCATATATATATATATAAATATCTGTCTGTGTGTCTGTGTGGGGGAGCGGTAAAAATTGGGCGCTTTGCTTCAAGCTATTAATGGCGAAAATCGAGTTTTTCACTATATTCTGAAATATTCAAGTTTTTAGGCTGCGTTTAGAAGATCAATTAACAATAAAGAGCATTCATCGGTTTCAATTAAGGACTATTTTTTTTTTCAAATCAAGTTATTAAGGTACACAGTATAGCATTGAAAGATGGTATAAGAACTCACTTGGGCTTTTAGATTTTTAATAATCCTCGTTGATTAGACAGCCGTCTGCGAGCGCAGCATCTTTTTTTTTTTTTTCATTTTAGCCTGTGAGGGTACGCTGTCTCAACAGCCCAACATACGCGTACATTTGTAGTGCGCAACAATATCACTTCAGTTCGACAAGAACGAAATATCTGCTGTTCCTTTCGAAATCAAATTTTTAAGTTAATTTCTCATCCTCATCTTTTTTTCTTTTTTGCTCTGTTGGAAACGGAAATTAAAGAAGGGCAATGGATACTTCCCAATAGACATAAAAGCGGCGTTCGGAACTCAATGTATGTCACTGCAGTTCAACGAGGCCAACAGAATCGAGGTTCGTTTCCGAGGTCTGGAGCTACAGCGCGTGTGTTCCTACGAACCCTATGCTTCCACTGAAACTATTTTCGGAGCAGACTAATTTCGAAAATGGCGAAATTTAGGTCTGCGAATTAGGGGAAATATCGGGTTTGAACCCGATTTTCTAGAAACATGTTCGGGGTGTAAATATGGGGAAATATCGGGTTTTATTTAAAAGCGAGGGACTCTAGATGTATCTCACCACCAAAGAACAATTGCGAGGCTTTAGAAAATTGCGTTTTGTGTATATTCATGAGAGCTGGAAAGTTAGCCAGCCCCAAGGGCGTCCGGTGTCTGAAGCATTGCGTTTGAGGAATTTAGCCTGTGCAATACCACTGCTCCTTGGGTATCTCATGTGCGTCGATCACTAGTGACTACACGAACAGACGCCCTGTACGATGCTAAAACGAACAAAAACGCACAAAAAAAGTCCGTATTTGAAAGGTTCTTTGACGTCCCAATAACTCTTTGAGCTCGTGAAGAACTGTTCCTACTTAAGACCCTTATTCCTACTCAAGCACTATTGCCCCCTGGCGCTCTAGAAAAGCAACAGTGCGATAAAGTACTTTTGTAAAAAAGGAGCTTAAAAGAACCCCATATAGGTTTTTGATAAAGAACCCTATTAGGGTTATTTGTGACTTAAATCCTAGAAGGACTGCCATTATAGAGACGTACACCCATATTTTGAGTGATGTACATATATTTTAATATTAAAATAGGGTGCCTTTGCATGAAACACCCTTCATAGCATGAAGGGCGTGGTAAAGGATGCTACGGTGACATGTGGGCGAACACAATTTTTGAAGAGTGTTCGGTCTTTAAAAACAGTTTTAGCGGAGGTTGTTTAGCGACCATGTCTTATAATCATTGACCTACCGGTTCCTTTTACTTGGAGATACAAATGGCCTTGGATACGTTACGCTTCACGTGGAATATCTACGAAAACAAAGGAGTGACGAATAAGTGCGGCGGCTGTCACGACTCACTCCACGTGTCGGCTACGTTGTTTGTCAACAGTAACGAGCTGCCCACGTGGCCTTCTACTTTTCTGGTTTTTGTTATTGCGAAATTTATGACGCGTCTGTTCATTAGGCTTACCCCCGGGGACACCTCCAGTCGATTCCGCGGCCGGGGCATCTCTGATGATAGTCTCGTGCAAACTTCAGGCAGCCAGCAATTCCGCAAATGGTGAGGCGTCGACACGAGCGCGCGGCTTTGGCGGGCGGAGAGGCGATAAAAATAGTCGGCAAAGGCTGGCGGCTGAACAGGCCGTTCGACGCTGGAGCGCGCGCGGCCGTAGCCCTGCAGGACGACGGGGAGCGATAGCGAGCGTTGCTCCGCTTCCTGCCATGACGCGGGACCTCCCCGGTGTTTGTGTGCCGCCGCCGTCGCTGCTGCTACGCGTTCGCGCGTAAAAACCTCCTCCAGACTCTCGCTGAGAGGCAACGGCGGGGAAACCGGTGGTGGGGCTCCTCGTCTCCAAGTGACTCAGTCTTGTGAGCGTTTTGCTGCAGCGCGAGCAATCGCGCCTGTGTTTGTTTCTACGGTGAACAGGCGGCTTTCCTTTTCTTCTTACGTGTGCACAGTTTGTGAACTCTTGTCAGTCTTCGAGAACCACGCGCCTGGTGCGGTGCTCTTGCGGCTACGGTGACTCCACGACATCCTTGTTCCTCCAGTCGTCTCTGCTCTGCTGTTATTTGAGATCGGTTCACATAATGGTTATCGGAGGCTGATAGACCGTTTTCCTTGCCTCGACTGTATACTTTCGGTCATTTCTGTACATCCTCGTGGATCGGGTTCTTGTTTTGGTGCCTCGGTTCTCCACTGGTTCGAAGTTTTGTCCCCCTTTGGCTCGTCTCTGTCGCGTCCCTACATCGTTCCCTTTTGTCGTAGAAGTCCTCTTGGCTTCAGATTTCTATGCACTTCGAGCGTCTCCGAACATGCTACTCGTTAATCCGTTCTCGCGATGTCCCTCTATCGGCCAGTGATCAAGTGGGCGTGAAAGCTGCCCGTTTCCGCCGCCAAGGCCTCGGTCTGTAGTTTCTGGAGCCTGGACACTCCGTACGTGGTCTGGTGAAGGAAGTGTTGTGCGCTGCAGCGAACGATCAGAATTTTCCTCTTATAGTGTATTGCTTTGACGGCTACTTCGGGCTCTGCTGTGCTGTGCTACGGGTGTACTCTCCGTTTTCCGTCCTACGCGGTATTGATCCGACGGTCAGCGTGATTACCCGGACGAGGGGAATTGAGCTCAAGAACAAGACGGAATAGAATGTGTGGCAGTTGCGGTTGAATAAGGGTTCGTACATCGTCTGATCTGCCATGGGCGAGCTGTGGCGAAAAGGATTTACGAAGGTGAGCTTCCACCTGTATGCTCATACTATAGCATTTTTTTTTAAAAATGCGATAGATTTAAGTTTTGTGGTAAAAATGAATAAGTCAGTTTTGTTTCGATCGGTTCTGCCGCTTCACTACGGACCTTAAAATAATGTAATGTACACGCATACACGTAAACAAACACAGGCACGTGCACGAATACATGGGCACAAATAACTGTCAGCGTGATGATGTTATCAATCTGCAGAGTACCGTCTTTTTCGGTCTATAGTACGGACCTAATGTATAATCCGCAAAAACCAATTTCAGCTGCAAAAAAAAAAAAAAAAAAAAAAAATTGTTTTTTTTTATATTGTTTGCATTTGGTGCATAGTCCGCCCTTAGTGCCTAACCTGAACTTTAAAAAATTATCATACACAGCACATCTGGACAAATGCCTGTTGTATTAGTTCACAAAGAAGCTTGTATTGCACAAAAATTGCCATTAATATACTCTGTTATTGGTAAAATTCTTCGCGTCTTGTCACTGTGAACGATCTAGAAAAAGAGAAAACCTTGGAACAGTCCGCACCTCTAGAAAATCTGCACCTGGTCACAATTTCAACTTTTAAACAGGTATATAGTCGCGGGCTATACGCCGGAAAATACGTAAGTTGTTGGGGGATATATTCTGTCTGTCCGAACAACCACCTCCATCATGTAGTGAGTGCCTCTTGCCACACCGTTAGCTGCACTATACCATACTCTGTTCAACAGATAGGATAGTTTGAAATTAACAGGGAAGCTACAGGTGGTGCTGCGTGTGTGTCGTCCGTTTCATCTGTAAAGCGCGAAACACATGTACGACCATAGGTACGACGAAACCTTCCGATCCGACGTGCGGACTGCTGGAATGACCTTGGGGGGGGAGAGGGTTTTCGTAGCATCGGAGAGCGTTGAAAACCCTCGCCTCCGACCGTCGTATTGCGCGGTCGGACGTCGGATCGGACGGTTTCGTCGTACATGTGTTTCGCGCTTTATTCCTCGGTCTGGCGTTTTCAAACTGCGGGAGTACAGAATCATCTGGAAGGGCGATTGACCAGATTTGTGGCAAACACCGACAACTCTTCCAGCGATTTTGTGTCTTCTCTCTTCTTTCCCGTCTGTTTGTGCTGTACGTTATAATCATGACCAGTCATCACGATTTAATTAATAATTTTAATCATAATCATCAACCAACACGCCCAAACTTCCATCTTTCAGATTTTTTTGTTTTTATTGTTTATGTGTGGGATTGGATGCGGCAAGGATCACTTTGCAAACCCCAGATTTCTCGGGGTAGGGAGGCAACGTTCCAAAGTGCAGTGGCGTGGTCAAACTGAGCCCTAGAATAATTTACAATTACCTGTTCCGGCATTTGCTTGAGCAGAGTTGACTTGAGGGAGGCCGCCATACATGTAAAAACAGTACTCAATCAATCGATCAATCTTTATTGGGTGCCCAGGAGGAAACATGCGGTCTCGATTCTGGCACACTGAAACCTCGACGCTCGGGACGGTTAATTATTGCACATAAGCGGATTAAAACGAGCAAAACATGAAAACATCCCAACGAGATTGGAGTAAATGAGCAATACATTTGATTACACAAAAAACTATAGGTAGAGAAAGTATGCGCGTTGGCATTTCACTCTAGTTGAAATGTGACAATAGCGCGTTGGCTGTAAAGATTGAGTCACAGAAATAAAAGCGACGAAGACCGAGCTATCAGTACAAAGCATTATATGCTTGAGATAATAATAATAATAATAATAATACTTAATATAGTTATTCATATTACTTAGGTAGACGCGCTGGATATAGCCAACGTTCTCTGATTTCGTCCCAGGTTGCAGGCGCGAAGTCCTGTAGATACAGTAATTATGCAACATGTGACTGCAACACATGTTACACAAAAAACAAAAGCAAACAGTTAGAAAACCTACTTGTTTTGTTTTTAAGCGACAAAAAAAAAAAAAAAAAAAAGAAAAAAACGCAATCACGTGGAGGACAAGAACATGTAAGGACTGACAATGTTGGAGGTCTAGTGAATTCCTTTTAACCGCGTCTTTCGTATTGGTTCAACCGTGTCTGTGTATTCGTCCATGAACCGTAGTCTTTTCTAGCGCTTATCAGCCAAGCGAAAAACGCTGAGTAGCTGGGCTGTGAATGAGTTGAGTTGAGAAAATGCCTTTATTTAATGGCATACATGACTGACCAACAGAAGCCGATTATTGGGAAGGTCGATTGGCGGCCGGACGTCGCTTGTGTGAGTCACCGCTCTCACCTTTGGCTAAATTTGATGTGATGTCAGGCGGCGAACGGAGCAATCCCTTCGATGCGATAACCGTGATTCAGTGCAGCTGTTATTTGAGCCGACGACGTGGCTGGGCCCCGAACATCGCGATAAGGCGATTACGATCCGCTGAATTGCCCGAGGCCTTGTCGCTTGCTGCGTGTCGTCAATATGCCTATTTCGAGGATGCTCGTCGACTTTTATAAATGTTATCATTCCATGCCAAACGTCACGTACGTTGTTGCGCGCGACCGTTTCCGATTTTGCAGAAAAGCCGGCGTCGGTGGCAGGCGGTAAATTCAGGGTTGGTTGATGGGCTCCTGACGTCACAGACACATGACCTCGTGCGGTAATTTCAAAACCTCCCGCAACGCTTACGTGAAACGTGACGTCACGCATGGAATGAAAGGCATTAGAAAACATGACATGTAACGCGAATTAAAGGTCGCCGCATGTCCAAATCGCATGTCCAAATGGATTTCACTCGCTAAAATAATTAATTTGCCTTAAAGAAAACTTAGAAGAATTTTTGGTGGGATTTGAACCCACGACCTTTCGGTTGCGAGCCAGACACGCTACTGACCATTTAAGGGGGGACACTACCCAGAAAAAACAATTTCTGCAAAAAAAAGTTGATTAAAAAACAAAAAGTCATATTTACATCTACCAACACCTTAAGAGTATCCCCAGAAAGTTTCATTAGTTTACAGTGTATAGTTAATTTTTTATAAATTCTTTTCGGTGTCCGATGCTAAAGAAAAGGCAGGGGTTGGAACGCTTTGGACGCATTTTTCTCCGTTCCACTTTTTGGCATAAATTTCACTTTAGGAAAACTATCGTTTTGTTATTACATAACTTGGATTCATTTTTATGAGTTCCTCTTGAGTAGAATTTTAAGGGGAAGATAGCTACGAGCTTGTATTTTTTTATTTTTGTCATTTTCCATGCTCAAGAACTAAAATTTTGGCCCAAAAATGGAAATCTAAAAAACAGTATTTGAATTGATGTGGCTTTTTTGTCATGAAAGATGGTATAATATAGAAATATAGCTCTCTGCTCTGGACTGTCCTAAAGCAATATAACACATGAAAACGACAAATTTATAAGTAATTTCAAAACGATAGTTTTCCTACGCAGACACGCCCACTTTCATCTTTAAACATTTGCAATTTTTTGTACTTCACCCAGATTAACAAAAATGGGCACAAATGTTTTTAACATGAACAGAAACAATCCCTGTGAATGTTATTTAAATCAGACAAATGGTTCAAAAATTCACTTTTTTGGGTAGTGTCCCCCCTTAAAAGAAAATTTGTTGCTTTTTACCCCAAGGTTCGTAACCTTTTACTAAAATATTTCCGTGGAAAACTTTTTTTTTTTTTGCGTGAGCGTGGTTTTAATTTTTATTATAAACGCGAAACTAGGCATCAATCAGTAATTTAGAGAAAAAAATATGTATTTTGATAAAACGCTTTTGTAATTTATTTTTGAAATTCGGACGGCGTTTAGCTTGCTATGTTATGATAATTATAAAATTTTAGATTGTTGGATTTTTTTATTTCAACAAAATGCCAACAAGTTTGCATTTTTCTAAACTTTTTGTTGGCAGCCTTGTACATATCTTGCATATAAAAAAAACTCAAAAAACCGTATAACAAAATACTTAAAAATATTTATAAAGGTGTGAAAAAAAATTGTTTTGCTGCCTAAACAGTCGTTTATTCTACCCTGAGGTGGTCCAAGTAAAAATACGAAACATAACGACTTTAGGGGAACAGTATATTGCCTTTCATTTTTAAAAGTTTTATCAAAATAATTTATTTTATGAAGCGAGAAAAAAAAAATTAAGTTGAGCTCCCGCGTCGTAACCCGGCATTGTTTCTTAGCAAACCCAACAGAGCTGGTTTCACATTAGAGATGAGTAAATACGACGCAACATCCTCCTAGTTTACGATATAAAACAATCAGAATTACCCTCATCAGCATCCACATGAACCGAAGAACGACTTGCCTGTGCGGAGTGACCTATTCCCTCCACTGTTATGGCACCGTGACTCTGACGAAAAATAAACTAATTTCTGTGCCAGATTCCCGATCGCACCTGCCAGTGGTCGTCGATCCTTTCCTTTCAAAACACTATATATAACCGTAGGTGAAATAGTCCCCTAAATGTGGGACCAAAATACATTTCTTTTCGCGATGTTAATGAATTTACAATCCTGGTCCTCGCCGTGTTCTTCAAAGTAAAAGTCTCTACTGGCAACAATGAAAAAGTGACGTCAGTGGAAGGCAGGGGTTTTAGCTTTTTGGACTGTAGACTTTGTTCCCAAGTGATTAAAAGCACTTTCATGGTGTCAAATGAATGCTTTTGGAAGCTCGCTTCAGCACCCGTGCAGCAGCACGAAACAAGTGCTCGACATAGTCCATTTTTAGACTGCCCGCTCGACCTGCAAGCCTGCCTTCCACAGTCGTAACGGCGGGGAAAAGCGCGGCCGTATTTCAATGTTGGTTTTGACATCATTTTGACTTGCCGATTTCACAACAACCTTTGCGAATTTCGCCATACTAAATAGCATACAGGAAAGGGTAAAGGCCGGTGATTCCGAAAGTATAGTTAGTTGGGGTACTTACAAAAATCGCCGAGGTAGCCTTCAAAAACCGTAGTAAAAAAAAATAAAGTCCGTTTTTTTTGCGGAGCATTACTAATTCCCCTGCTTTATGCAGATAATTAAGATATATGTAGATGCATCTTAGATTAGATATTTGTTATCAAGACGTACACGTTTGGAACGCCAAAAGCACCGCTTTTTGCTCCGACAACCCAATCTTGTAAGAACTACTTCGCGTAGCGTATGAACAATGCGCAAGACTTCCTTTTTGATGCCGACGTCGATTGGGCATCCAATTTCGGAGTGAGGGGAGCTGACATTGGTGCAAAGGGCGCAACGAGCCTGCTATGCAGTGGCGGCCTGCTATGCAGTGGTGGAAGCGGCTGCGGCAAACCGCTGCGCGTTTTTAGGTGTACACTGTGACTGTACAGTGTACGGCTATTGCGAGTCTAGAAAGATTCGCGTCAGCTCTCGTGTCAGGTGGCGTGCTGTGCGGTGAAGAGGCGCTAACAAGCAGTGCCGCGTTGGAATGCGGGAGCTCAACTTCAATACTTTTTTTATTACTTTAGAAAAACATTTTCAATAAACGTTTAGAAATTTTAAGTCAATAAACTCTTCTAAATTCGATTTGCTTCCTATCTTTACCTAAATAAACCACCTCAGGATAGAATAAACGGCCATTTAGGCAGCAACACAGATTTTTGTCGCAACATTATAATTTTTGTTTTTCTATGAAGTATTTTGTTGTGCACTTTCAAACATTTTTTATGTGCAATACATCTACAGGGCTGCCTACAAGAAGCTTCATAATCACTAGGTGTAAGGTAATAACTATAAATAAAATAATAGAGAAAAGTGTTAAATTTTGAGCACTTTTCTTGAAATTTCGTTGAATTAAAAATACATAGACATCACAACATAGCAAACTAAAATTCGTTCGAATTTATGAAAATAAATAGTGAAGTATTTCGTAAACCACGCTCACATCACGAAAAACAGGTTTTGCCAACAATACAAACTTTCATAGTCATCACAACAAAGTAAACTAAAAGCTGTTCTAATTTGAGGAAATAAATTCTGAAGCGTTTCGTAAACCACGCTCACATCATTAAAAAAAGTTTTTGCCAGCAACATTTTAGGAAAAAATAACAGATCTTAAAGGGCCCTTGAAAATATTTTTTTCAAAGCCTGGTTGGAACACGCGTAATAAAAAATAATTTTACGCGAAAAAAAAAAAAAAGAACAATATTGACGGCGCGAGATGTGATTTAGTTGGTAGTCACCTCCTTTCCATTTGTTCTCTCTCTTGGCATTCTTTTAGGCTTGGAGGAGAGGTGGATTGACTTCGCTTTTGCTTTGACGGGGAAAGACCGAATGACCGTTCTGTGATGTCGAGGTTTTGCGCGCAGAATTTTCAATAAATATTGGAAATTCTGTCAATTCCGTCAATATTGCTCTAAAATTTTTTTTTTTTCGTATAAATTTTATTTTTTTGACACGCGTTTCCCTACCAAACTGTCTAAAACAAGAAAAGCAGTCGTGAATCTTCGTTTACAAATGGGAAATGGTCGAGCGCAGTGTCTTGGATGTTTGGCATAGAGTGACCCAAATGCGATGGCATTTCTACGGCCACCAAACCGTCATGTGCGTCCGTCCGATACCACCTAGAAGACAAGGCCTCCGCATGACATCATTGTGAGGTCCTCGGACAAGGGGCCACATATGCCAAATTATACTTTAGCACTTGTGAGGAGGCCGTCTTGAGCTCTGACAAATTTAAAAAAAAGGGGGGGGGGGGCGGTCGCCTCCCCCCCCCCCTCCGTGTTCCGGCTTCACTGCCAGGGCCCAGAGCCGTATATATATATATATATATATATATATATATATATATATATATATATATATATATATATATATATATATATATATATATATATATATATAGAGAGAGAGAGAGAGAGAGAGAGAGAGAGAGAGAAATAGAGAGAGAGAGAGAGAGTTTGGTCATTCATTGGGAAGCATAGGAGGTAAATGAGGAGGCACCATTGGCAGAAAGCGGGCTGGGCATGTTCCAGGGCGTCTTCACAATTTCGAATGTGGTCAACCAGAAGCCGGAAATAATACCCTGGCGGTGGTAGCGAGAAACAAAATTAATAAGTGCGTTGGAGTAACTCTCGGTGACTGAAAATACGGTGCACGTGATGTTTCAATCACGGTCATTTAAAATCATGGTAGAAGAGCGCGACTAGCGGAACGATCGACATAATCCGTGCATCATTCGCCGAGGGCCGGGAATCTGCCGTCCGAGCGGTCCCGCTCTGCCCGAGCAAAACAGAGTTCGAGTGGCACGTTTATTTCTTACATCTTTTTGCATGGTCATAATCGAAACATCACGTACACCATATGTTCAACTATGAAGAGTTACTACATTTAACCCTTAGGCTCCTATTAAAACTGTTTCTCGCTACCAATTCTTTTTGACTTCTGGTTGGCCAAGAGGGCATGCCAAGCCCCCTTTGTGCGTCTGGCGCACACCCTGGCTCTGCCGGCTCCTCCCATTGAGCAAACTCTCACGGCCCTGCCAGGGCGCAGTAAGTCCATTTGTATGTAAATATGAAATGGATAGATTGAAGTCGATATGCCCTCTTTATCGGGTGGTAGCCTGCGCCACCTAGCCTACTAGATGTGCCCTTGTATATTGTGCGTGCTAAAACCTGATATCATACCCTCCTCTTGTGCAGCTCGGGGAGCGCGGGGCCGGCCTGAAAAACCGTAGCGGCCGCATCCAGGACTTCGACCAGCTCAAGAAGGAGTGCCTGGCCAGCGGCAGCCTTTTCGAAGACCCGGAGTTCCCGTGCACAGCCGAGTCCGTCTGGGGCCCCAAGGACCACAAGTTCCCCATCGAGTGGATGCGGCCACCGGTCTGTATATATTTTTTGTCGCACACTCTCTCTCTCCGCGCCCCGCGTCCTCCTCTGCGCGGATGGATGGACGTAAATGGGTGAACACGTTCAAGTGGGCTGCGGCTTGCGCCACCTAGCTAGTGTTCGCGTCTGGCGCCAGGACCGACCAAACCTAGTACCAAATAATTGATCCTGAGCATGGATATACTTCTAGCAATCTGCAAAGGGAGCTATCGCATGTCGTTATCAGCATGAGCCGTGGGAAAAGCAACTTCCCGTCCGCCACAGACAACGAATTTGTCAGTGCGAAAAGAATCTGGCAAAAGCTGGCTGTCAGCACGCGCTTAACCACAGAGCATGGAGCTATGACCACATCGAATGCTCCCTATACAGCTCCCCCGTTTACAAGGAATGAATTTGCGGCTGAATGCAAATAACCGGAAATTAAAACAAAGGTGCACCACGACTTCGACCTCGAGTCCCGCCGTGCCTAGTCCGGCAGCTCTGGGTGCCGGCTCCGAGAGACAACCGTAAAAAAAGCCCCCCCCCCCCCCCCCCCCCCCCCCCCTTTTTGGGAGACGATGGGCAGGCACTGCAGTACCAGGAGTAGCAGGGGGAAGACCTGTGGGGCAGGGTATGTTGCAGGGCCTGCAGCAGTTGCTGGGGCTGCCTGCACATTGCCCCCTCGCTGCTCAGGTGCTGCACCCCATTTCGCACATCTTCTGCAGCAGAGAAACTGTTGAAATCTCAATGGACCCTTATTAGCTTTAAATGGCAGCCTAACAACCTCTAAAGCAGCGCAGAGATGCTTACACACTTTGTATGCAACAAGGCACACACTAGGGAACTGGTTCTCAAGCATTGATGTTTCGGCATCTCCAGTTGAATCGGCGGATGTGTTGGGGGACCCGAATCCACCGGAGGTGGGGGTTGTGAAATTAAGAAAAGCAAATGCATGCAAACAAACTTTGGAGCTCTGAAATGGAGTAGATTATATCAACCCTACTCCCCTGGCGCATATGGTTTGGTCTATTTAGCTCTTTGAGACAACCAGCGTCAATAAAAAAAACAAAAAAAAACTAAATATTTATTGCTTGGCTCGACTGGTGTGGTCGAGGGCATCAGGAATCCCAAAGGGTTTGCGGAATAACATTTGAGGACCGCTGCACTGGGGAGTGTGTGTGGCTCATAGTTATGCATCACTGAGTGACTCAGGCCTGCTGAAATAGGTATGGAAAGGATAAATAAGGATATTTGTGAGCTTGGGGAACCCATGAGGTGGTACTCTGGGGAATGTTCCTGGGAACCCAGTTTGAGAACCCACGATCCAGAGCAGGGGGTCTCCAAACAGTTTGGCTAAGGCGCCGGATTAGGAAACCGTCACAGCCTCGAGGGCTGAAAAAAAAAAAAAAGACGAAAAACTAAATAATTAAAAAAAGCTATATAGTTGGTGACAGGTCAAGAACAAAGTGGAAGTTACTCCTACCTCTTTCTCCTTTTGCAGAGCGAATGCTGTAGGGGACGCAACCTCAGCGTTTGCTTTGGTAAAGTGAAAAGAGCTAGGAGGAGCTTAGACTTAGTTCATGATTAAAGCAAGTATTTAAAAACTCTAACCTCATTTTGAAGTTTTATATTTAGCTAATTACGACATTACACCACAAATGTGATCAAGAAAACTCACAAGGCATAAATCAAAGCGCGTCGGAACCTAACGCTCACAAAATATTCAATAGTTGTGACAGAGGACACTAAGCACAACGCGCGCGAGAACGCAAAGGAACATTAAAAAACGAGCGTGTTGGTAAATACTTCAGCAACCGGAAAGAATAAACACAAATTCGGGACGCAAACAGACGATACAACTCTTTCAACTCACAACGACATTTCGTTGTCGTTGTCGTTGTGAGTTGAAAGAGTTGTATCGTCTGTTTGCGTCCCGAATTTGTGTTTATTCTTCCCGGTTGCTTAACGCAAAGGAGTTTTAATATTGTTGCACAGACATGGAGCCGGGGACTAAGAGTGGTGATGCTAATAACGATTAATGTTCAGTCATAATTGCGAGAGAACATCGTTACGATCCAGTTTCTCTCGTTCTTTCTGGTATCTTTTTGTTCGGAACGCGTCGCAGCGCCGTTTTTTAGGTGCACATCTTGTGCTGTACCAACGGCAGCAGGTAGGTCTGCTTGAAGCGGGCCAGTCAGGAGACTTACGCGGTCCGGGTTTGGAGACACCTGATCCAGAGGAAAAGTCTGCCATATTTCCATATATTTTGGCTGCCTCGGAATGAAGGGGCATTGTAAGTAATCCCGGTGAGTTCAGCCTACCGTAAAATCTCGATTAAATGCCTCCGCTGAAAGATTGCCCATCCCATTTTACGTACGAAAAATGGTTCACCCCCAGATTCACGAGCACAAGAAGCTGCACATTCTGGTGTGCACAAATATCGAAAATGGAGCTTTAGGCTTCGTTTTGTGGTCAAATGTAACCTAAGGATAGCACTAGCTAGGTTGTAGCAAGATTCTTGTCTAAAATATTGTTATTGGTTCGTATGAAGGAATCGGGAAATACGATATTCAACTATGAGGTACTTCGCAATCGTGAGAAGTTTGTTGTGGGTGGGGCTACATTTTTTTCATGCAAAAGTATCGCTTCTCGGCCTTTTGGCTAAGATAAAGTATACCCCGGTATGGCTTCCGGGTTATCGCCATCTGGAACTTTGTGTCAGGTGGTAGGTGCCCCCGCGGGGGCTTCGCCCTGCTCCTGTTGGCAGTCGGCCAACTGGTCCTCTGGCAGAATCGTTGAGCGGCGGTTGGCCAGCAACGACGATCTCGTGCAATGTGGCCCGTCCTCTCTTGACTGCGGGGTACCATGCTCCGCCACCTGGACTCCGAGCTCTTTTGGTTGGGCGAGGAAAAGTTCCTCAGGCGGTGGTCTTGCCGCTACGTCCGGCTGGTCGGTGGTCGCATCCACTTGCTTTTCGCGCCTCTTGCACAGGTGAGAGGCGCGGGGTGGGGTGAAGGGGGGGTTGGACGTTAGCCAGCCGAACGCTACGCCTGGCTTACACTGACATTTATTAGGTAAAGGAGAGAACCCTCCTCGTTGTGTTGAGATGTAAAGAGCGGCCATGTTTGGTTCGCTAAGTTATGTTTTTTCGTTACTTCCGTCCCTGGATCTTTGTAGCGTACATGTTCCTATTGTATACCGGTGTGATTTACGTCTTGCAGTTTACAGTGTCAATAAATTTTTTTAGAGCGCAGCTCTTAGGCACCCGTTTCCGGCTTGAGCGGCGTCGCCGTCGCCGACGCCGTCGGCGTAACCGCGCGGTGCATTATGGGTAAATTTTTCCGAAGGGACCCAAGGTCTTCCCGAAGGGACCCAAGGTCTTCCCAAAACCTTCAAGGGGACTTCGGGAGGACCTCGGGTTTCTTCGGTAGGACCTCGGGAGGACCTCGGGTTCCTTCGGGAGAACCTTGGGAGGACCTCGGGTTCCTTCGGGAGTTGCACGCAACAGGTTGCATGCAACTTGTCGCGTGCAGCTGGCATGCAACATTGGTTGCATGCAACCTGATGCACGCAACTGGCCTACAACGAGTTGTATCATATGCAACCTGTTGCATACAACTCGTTGCAACAAGATGACGTCACCATGCAACCTGGTGACGTCATCGGCATCCGCATTGTCATCATCATTACTGATGACGTCATCAGTGACATCACTGATGACGTCATCAGTGACGTCACTGATGACGTCATCGGATCGTCATCGTCAAGGTCACGTGACCCCCCCCCCCCTTCAGTACCCTTCCCTCCTCCTCCTCAAGAGCTGCGCTCTAATTCGGTGTTACAGGGCTTTCATTTTTCTTCAACGGCTTTCAAATGGCTTTCATTTTTCTTTAACCCTGTTCTTATCGGCTTAATATCTGATATGGACCTAACTGGTCCAGATATTAAACTTATTTTTGTGAACGGTTCTCCTCCGAAGCTTGCTTCGAGGTCGCCAGGATAGCAGCGGTCGACGCAGACATCGCTTCTTGGCCTTTCGGCTAAGATCAAATGTAGTATGTATGGCTTCTCTCAGCCTTTTGGCCAATAATAAGCAGTCTTTAGCTTCTCGGCCTTTTGGCTAAGGTCAAGTGTATTATCGCTTCAATTCAATTCATTATTCAAAATAATCACAGACCACACTGCACAAACGCATCTGGGTCCGTAGCCTATTTGGCTTGGGTCCATTACAAATGTACAAAAGTCAATATTGCGGCGGTTACCTGGCACCCGTGCAGCCTTTTGGCCAAGATCAAGTGTAGGCCTTCGGTTCTCGGCCTTTTCGCTAAAGGCCCGTTCACACTCTTGCAACCGAGTACGACTGAGAGAGACGAGACCGGTTTTTAAGCCTCTTGCGATCTCTTAGGACCAGCTCCGCTGCTGCGCATCCGGTCCTAAGAAGTCGCAAAAGGCTTAAAAACCGGTCTGGCCTTACTCGGTTGCAAGAGTGTGAACGGCGCTTAAGAGTTGCTTGCTGCGTCGCCGAACTTGTGGTCCTGCCCACGGGTCTTTCCGGCAGCCGCTGCCGGGCAGTGAGACTCGTTGAGGGTCCCACCACACAGTGTTCAGTCCCACTGGACGAGCTCCTGGCCCACTTTAAAACCACGTGGGCCCCTAGTGGGGTCCGTGCAACGGACCCCCCTAAGGACACTAGAGACAAAATCTGGTGTAAGCTAAATAGCTCAACTACATGCCAAAATTTCTTGTCCTTCACGAGCAAATATATATATATATATACACACACGCACACATATACCGTTTTTTTTAGCTTAACAGAATTATTTAAAAAAACCGTGAAAGTTACACTTATGCGGTTTGTGCAGGTGAGTTATACGGCTAGGCGGCTAATTGATTAAAATTCGTTAATTAACTTTTTAATTAATGAAAATATACACATGGTTCCAATTAGAAAGTTGCTGAGCGTCATCGATAATAACTAAACTATTTTTATTACGATATAAGATAGGGGAAGAATT